TCTGGAATGGCGCCGTCCAAGTAATTCCTCTCGATGCGATCACACGCAGTCTCATGTACACGCGTGTAGGACTACATCCGCCATGCCCACGAGCTCGAAGCCAAGGTGGCCACGCTGCACGCGCCAACCAAGAAGATTGCGGCGCCGTCGACTGGCGTGTCGTTTGGTGCGACGGAAAAGACATTATCCTCTGGCTTTTCCTTTGGTGTCGCACCGACGACGTCGAATGACAAGCCCTCGACGAGCTTCTCGTTCGGCGCGGCTGCTCCGTCTGCCACCACGTCGAGCCCGGCCAAGCCGGCAACGACGACGGGCTTTTCGTTTGGCGCGGCTGCTCCGTCTGCCACGACCACGTCGAGCCCGGCCAAGCCGGCAACGACGACGGGCTTTTCGTTCGGCGCCAGTGCTACGCCCGCAAGCCCAGCCAAGCCCGCGACGTCGTCTGGCTTTTCCTTTGGCTCGACTGCCACGACGTCGAGTCCGGCACCTGCCGCGACGACAAGCCCGGCGAAGCCGACCTCGAGCTTTAGCTTTGGTGCGACGCCGGCCGCCAGCACATCTGCGTTTGCCACAGCGCCGGCTTCGTTTTCTTTTGGTAGTGCACCTGCGCCGTCGGCGTCGTCCTTTGCGTTCAACTTGCCCAAGGCGGCACCGGCACCGGCGGCCACGGAGGACGAGGACGACGAGAACATTGGTCGGGAAGAGGCGACGGTCATCATCAAGGTACTTGACCTTTTGATAAGGGACCCTCATGGCTCGCTAGTCGTCCTCGGAAGCCGACGAAACAGTCTTGTATGAAGTGGACGCGATTCGCATCCGTCACTTTAAGACGGACGAGAAGCGCTGGGCCGACATTGGCCGTCACCCGTTCAAGATTCTCCAGAACAAGACGACCAAGGCCTCGCGGTACGGCGACACCTTTCTTATTGTGCTTAGTCGGTGCGTCTAGCATCTTGTCGCGCAACTCGATTGGCAAGATCGTGATCAACGCGGCGCTGTACAAGGGCCTCGAGGTCACCGTGACGTCCAACAAGAAGAGCGTGATGCTGACCTTGCTCCACGATGGCGAGCCCACGAGCATGCTTTTGGGTATTGCGGCGGATCGTGTCGAGGAGCTCAAGGCCAAGATCGAGGGCGCGTGCCCGCAGTAATAATCCTCGCAATGCACGTATGATTTGATTTTTAAGATTGAGATTGAGCCACAGATACCGTTCAGCCATTGGTCATAAATGACAACCGAAAGTGGCCAATGGACCGGTGGAAGGTGCATTTGGCACCATTGGATTGGTCCATAATTAGATGGACACACTGGATTGGCTGAAATACGACGGGTGGCGTTGGGGGCCTCTGGCATTCCTGGTGGGACCATTCTTAAAGTAGCGTCGTAAGAGAGAGATCGCGTTGAGCAGTAGGAACGCGCACGGCAAGCTGCATGGCAGATGTGAGGGCTGGCACACTGAAAAGTATGTCGGCGCTCGTTTTGTCTATGTTGAAAATTCCGTGCTACAGCAACTTCACTTGTAGTGTGTAGAAGGGAGGACGCGTTTGCCCACGTCCTTTCTTCAAGAATCAAGTGGGAAATTCACCAATCGAGCAGTTCAAACAGAAATGTAGAAGTTCGTTAAGGGCACTAGAGTCTTCATAAATGAGCAAGTATTGCAAGGAGAAATTTTTGGTGTCGACGCCAGCCCTTCTTTTGTACACCTCGAAAGCCACCAATGCATCGAGACGGGCAAAGCAATGAGCAGAGTTTAGCGGTTCCTCTCCGCAAACTTGCAGCCCACTGCGCACTTGCGATGGCCTCGGTTGTAGAGCAAGAGCTGCAGACGAAGCATCTTTGGTGACGGTCAAGGTGACTGACGACGCCAGCCACAACCCGGCGACTGAATCATCCAAATTAATTAAATCACTTCAAGTTTGTAGACGATAAAATAATTGTTTTCGTAACCTGGGCCTGGTTGCACTTTAAAATTGCACCAGCATGGCCGAGCTCCAGGAAGCGATGATCGACCGCTGCATTGACGACATTTGGCACACGTTCGACCAAGACCAGAACGGGTACCTCGACCGCGAAGAGACGCGCGCGTTCATCGACGCCATGGCC